TAAGATTAAATGGGGAAATTCATAATGGCGCTACTCAATTTATCACATCCCCCACCCCGTGGAACGTTCGTTCCACCATTATTCGTCCGCCACGTCCAGGATGGCCAATTTGGATACAGGACGTCGTAACATACCACCGCAAGTGCGAACGTCAGCACGACGAACCTCACCATCAGTCCCCCTGTATACTTGCACCACTCTGCCACGGCACCAACCACTTCTTGGTGTGCTCGCCTCACAAATTAGTACTAAATCGCCGACCTGTAATGCCCTTGCTCTGCGGCACCACCTAACCCTTCGCGTCAACGTTGGCAGATATTCTGCTATCCAGCGTTTCCAGAAACGATCTCGGTATTGACGTGATATCCTCCACTGTTTACGCAGAGTGCACAATTTCTTGATAGGATCCTCAACGCTCGGAGTGTTAGCCGTGTTCTCCGAGCCCAACAAAAGATGATTTGGCGTCAATGGTTCTTCCTCTTCGCTGCTTACTGGAACGTGGGTTAGTGGCCTGGAATTAACAACGTTCTCGACCTCGATTAGCACGCTTATCAGCGTATGCTCTCTCGGAGATTCTTCTTTCAGAGTATGCCACAGGGCTCGTTTGACACACTGCACCATTCGTTCCCACGCTCCACCTTCTGACGGATTACTCGGCCAGTTGAATATCCACTGAACTCCCCTCGACGACAGCTCGTCCTGGATCTTCTCGCAATCAAAGACTTCCGTGAACTTCTTAGCCTCCTTGTCTGCTCCTATAAAGTTTGTTCCGTTGTCAGAACGCAAACGTGCGGGTACTCCTCGTCTGTTGATAAAGTTGCGTATACATAGTATACAAGCGTCAGTCGAGAGATCCTGTGCCAATTCCAAATGGATGGCCCGCACCGTGAGGCAGGTAAATAGGGCAACCCATCGCTTCTCCGTTCGTCGACCTATCGCAACGTTGATCGGCCCGAAATAATCGAGGCCAGTAAACGTAAACGGTCGGACAAATGGCGTTAGACGGTCCTGCGGTAGTGATCCCATTAACGGTGCAACTGGTTTTGCTTTCGATACTTTGCACACGACACAATTAGTGACGACGGAACGCAGAACTTGACGAAGTCGTGGGATCCAGAATGTGCGGCGAATTTCGGCGATGGTTGCCTCTGTGTTTTGATGAAACATCTTATTGTGTTTGAAAGCGACTATCAACTTCGTAACTTCATGACCTGGTGGCAGGATAATTGGGCGTTTGACGTAACGCGGAAGCCAAGTGGCAGCATCAATTCTCCCGTAGACCCTTAGCACTCCATCTTCATCAACATAGGGACTTAGTTGATGTAATTCACTGTCACGCGAAACTGGTTGGTTCAAGGCAATGCTGTGTAACTCGACGGCATACGTTTCCCTTTGAACCAAACGACTTAAGGTTATTTGTGCCTTTTCAATCTCTTCTGCTGTTAGTCCATATGTTTGCTGGCTTCGCTTCTGCTTTCTGCATCTCGAAATAAATCTAAGGATATAAGCGATAGTACGTCTAAGCTTGGTAAACGATGAAAATTGATTAAAGTCGATTAGAGTGTTACGCGCAACCATTAACGCAAATCTCGGTTTGATCTCCTCGTCATCGTTACCTACAGTCTTTACTTTTGTGGCGGAGACAAAAACAGGCCAATGCTCTCGTATGTCTTTAAGAAATGTTGGCCCACTGAACCAGCACGATGATGGGGAGAAGTCTATCGGGCCCTTGGCACGCGTAGCTTCATCAGCTGCATTGTCGGCCGTGGGCACCCATCTCCAATTGCTCGGCTTAGATTCGTCAAGAATCTCTGCAACACTGTGCGCGACAAAGGGCTTGTATCTGCGGTGCTCGCTATTTATCCAATGTAGGACGGTGCTTGAATCGCTCCATAGAAAAAACTCATTTATTTTTAACGAATGTTCCTGAAAGATAATTTTCTTTAACCTCACACCCAGAACAGCTGCTTGAAGTTCAAGACGCGGAATCGTTAGAGGCTTCAATGGAGCAGTTTTAGTCTTAGCGCTTACAAACGACATACCTATCTTGCCACAATCTGTTGTGTACCTCCAATAGCCTACCGCTGCGAATGCGTGCTCACTTGCGTCAACAAATATGTGCAGTTGCAATTGCTTTATAGTTTTATTGTCGAAATAAGGGCGCGGAATGTGGCATTGTGTCACGTTGGGAATTTGCTTTCGGAACCTCTCCCATGCTGAGTTGACTTCAACCGGAATATCCTCATCCCATCTGACCCGATAACTCCAAACTTCTCTTAGTATCAACTTCGCCACGATCGTGAAGTGGCACAAAAACCCTATGGGGTCAAATATCGACATAACAATACTAAGAAGTTCTCGTTTTGTTGGGCTTCTCAATCCATCCAAGACAGTCTTGTCAGTATAGTTGAACTTTACCTCGAAGTTGAAATCGTCACTGCTGGGTCGCCAATACATCCCCAAAACTTTTTCAGGTGAAAAGCTTTCTTTTCGTTGGATGTTCAGTGCAACTTCATCGCATCCCAGTGACTTCGAGACATCAGGCGAATTCGAGGCGAAGTGACGTAGGGTAAACCCAGCACGTTTATGGATGTCGCACACCTGCTTAGTGACTTTAATAGCTTCAGCTACAGACTCAAAACTGTCGACAAAATCATCCACGTAATGATATTCCAGTATGGCCTTCACTGCTCGCAAATTATCTGCGTTACGATGTTGCAAGGCGTTCATCGTCTTCACATAATGAGCTGCACATGGTGAACAAGCTGCTCCGAAGGTCATCGAAACCATTTCAAAAACATCTGGTGGCTTTGTATCGTCTCCTCCACGCCATAGAAATCGCTGAGCGCATCGATCATTTGGTTGAACTACGACTTGATGGAACATTTCCATGACATCGCCACATACTGCCACTGGGCCTTCGCGAAAATGGAACAGTATTGCGGGGAGCGGGCGGTAATCCTGTGGTCCTTTCAACAGGTTTGAGTTGAGTGACGTTCCATTCGAAAAAGCTGCTGCGTCGAAAACGAGACGCAGTTTCGTCGGTTTATTAGGATTGAGGACTGCAAAATGTGGCAGGTACCAGTTCCTCGGATGGTACGTAGTGGCTTCTTCAGCAAGCAGTTTGCGGGCGTACCCCTTTCTAAGATAACTTTCGATTATCTCTTTGTATGCTGTGGCAAACTCTACATTACGTTTCATCTTGCGCTCAATGCCACACAATCTCTTCAAGGCCATCGTGTAACTTTCCGGCAACACAATGTCATCTGTTTTCCACAGCAGACCTACTTGAAACCTTCCGTTGATCTGTTGAGTAGTAGCTTCCAAGATTTCCTTGGCACGTATGTCCTCAGCACTTGGTATCGGGGATACAGCTTTCACACCAAAGTTTTCCGTTTCAAAATAGTCAGCTACCATATCGTGAAGCTCCGACTCCTTCGGCGAACACACCATCAGACACGTAGCATTTGGATTGGATGCTCTATTGGAAGGCCCAAAGATGACCCAACCAAGCTCGGTATTAGCTGCATACGGACCATGTCCTCCAATGCCCATGGTCTTAGTAGGCAACCCAAGGTGGCAGTGATCTAAACCTATAAGGAGCTTCGGCGTAACGTCATAGTACAACAAATGATTAAATTTATCGCTACTCTTTAGATTAACCAAATCTTTTTCTAACAAGGTTTGCGTAGGTAGATTGAGATTGCTTACCCCGTAAACATTACGTAACTTATGCTTTTTCCCCAACCCACGCCCATTTACATAAAGATCAACTAAAATTGTAGGTTCCTGGATTGCTCTACCTCCAAACCACTGTATGTCCAGCTGCTTACGTTGACCACTGACGCCTAACACTTCCAGTATTTCTTTGTCGACCATTGTCACTGACGATCCCTCATCCAGTAATGCGTAGGTATCTATACTTTTAGATGGCCCATGAAGGGTCACAGGCAAAACTCGAAAAAGTAATTTATTGTTGGGATGGTTGTTGGCTTTGCAACTTAAAACTGCCTCATTTGTGGGGATGGAAGTCTGAGTTGTACTATTTGTCGTGGGCCCACCTGTATCTCTTGACCTTACAATTCGTTGTTCATGTAAAAGTTTGTTGTGTTTTTTACCACAGCCATTTATTGCACATGTCTTTCTTCTGTGGCAATCTCGAGTAGAATGGCCACAGTTTAAGCAACTAAAACAGAGTCGGTGTCGCTTAACCATAGACCACCGATCTGCTACGTTGGCGTCTAAAAGTCGCTTACACTCGAAAGCTCTATGCTTGGCACTACATACGGGGCACTTCATGGAACTTGTGGAGTTGTCACGTTGAATCTCAGCTACATGAAAAACTGGTCGACGTCGATATTCTCGCTGTTCGTAGTCTAGTACAACGGAAACTAAAGCGGCAATTTCTGACAGCCAGTCACTAAAGTGTTCTATATTTGGATACGGTGAGAGGGTTGCTGCACGTCTGGCCCATTCAAACTTTTTGCTCATAGGCAACTTCCCTACCAACTCCTCCAAAAGCGTTGGATTAGCTAAATGGTGCCACCATTGATTGATTTTAAAAATATAGCAAGATTTTTTGTTGTTGTAGCAAATTGCACAAGTTTGCCTACATTATTTTCCGAAATCGGAGGAATTTCTCGGATTTGCTTCAACTGGCTACGGATCAGAGTTTCAGGACGACCGAAACGTGCGCGCAAATGTTCAACGGCAGCATTAACATTATTTGGATGAATCAAAAGGGATTTTACCACATCCCGAGCTTCACCCCTAAGGCACTTATAAAGGCGTTGATTATTTTCAAAATTCGTGTAACTATATGCCGCAGTCGACTCGACGTACGCTGTATAAAAAATTGGCCAGTCTTCCGGTTGACCAGAAAACTCCGGAAGGTCGATAAGTTTTTTGTGTGGAATTGTGGAACCGAAAATATTTAATTGGTTGTTCGCCGCTCTTTGCCGCTGTATAGCGGAATCAACCGAACTAGATGTAAGCGAGTTGGTATACGTATTATTTAAACTTGTTGAAGCAAATGTTGTTGGATGTATATACACCGGTTGCGTAGGCATATTTTCTTGCGATGCATTGAAAAGCATGTTGCTGTCATGCTGCTGCATGTGTGCGGCAGTATGTGCTTGATTTGAAATTGTTGTTGGCACGGCGCCACTTTCGACCGGTGTAACTGTAGTGACCGAAAAAAACGTTATTTGGCCTATCTGACAAATTCCTATCTTTCTCCAATTCTGATTTAGCTAACCTAACTTCTGTTTCTTTAAGTTGGCGCTGTAAAATGGCGATTTGATTTTGCATACAGACAAGCATGCTCTCTGAGGACTGCGATGTCGCACTGGCATACACTGTTGCGGGGAAGACTGACTCTGGATTGGCGACAACGGCTTCAGCAGAAGCGACGGTGGGAATGGCGGTTGATTTCCCGGCGGTACCATTATTGTGCGTGGAGCTGGCATTTGACTCCACTTGGGGCTCAGGTACAGGTTGGGCTGGGTACGTTTGTTGTTGGCCGAAGTTAGGCAGTCCAGAATCGTCTGTAGGGTTGTTCAGCAACTCTATGCTCGGTGCATTCGTGGTGGTGGCAGAGGGTATATGCAAAGTATGAGAGAGACTTACCTGTGGTGTTGATGGCTGGAGTGGTGACGGCGTAACAATAAAGGCGGCTGGGCTGCTCATGGTTGTAAGGGTCGTACTTTGTGGTTTGATGGCGGTTGCAGATCTGTTCCCTGCAGCAGGCACAGTTCCCGACAACGTGGTGACGGTTGCAGGTCTATTCATTGCAGCATTCACAGTTCCCGACAACGTGGTGGCGGTTGCAGATCGATTCCCTGGAGCGGGCACAATTCTTGACGTGACGGCGGTTTCATTTATTGATGATTGCATGTTTCTAGCGCTCCGGCGAGGTGGCGTGCGTTCCATTCGCGGCACACTTCAAAATTACTTCCCTTTTACAGCACAAGAAAAAAACTGTAAATCACAGGCAATGGCGGACTTCAACAGTTAGGCAGACGATATTCCAATGAGTGGCAATCACAAAATGGCGGCAAATTCGCAGGATTTGTGAAAACTGCGAAATAAAGATGTCATTTGTCCGAGGGCTTGCAAATTTAATGTTTCCACTTCGATGG